GAAAAGAGGACATATGGTCACCCTAGTCATACACCGATCAGTCTGCGCAGCGCTGCTTCAAGTCGAACACACCTATTGCGTTTGTGGTATTGTTGTTGTTGTGCGTGCTAGGGAACGTAAATGCGCTATATCATTGATATCGCGATATGACACTTTTTTTATCATGTAAAAATTTATACTGGTATTATCGTGGACGGTATGATATGGCACACCCCTAGTAGTGACAATTCTCTCTGACCAATCAGTGATCTGCATTGTTCACACATCACATTTTAGAATCGGTACAGCTCGCTTGGAACCTCAACCGAGGTGGTACTAAAAAAGGTGCTGTACACAATGGAAAACCCCCCAAAAGTGAGTCGTACTGAGCCGTACCGGGCCATACCATGCATTTTTAAGTCACTTTGGATATGAGCTCTGCTAGCGAAATAAATATCAATATGTAATGTTCATCCAGGAGAGAAATGTGACGTTTACATCCCCTATGATCTTTTTGCTGTATGAGTCTGCAGGTCCGTGTTTACCAAACTTGAATTTCAGTATGCAGCTAAAGACTGAAATCCTACACATATGCTTTTATTCCTGTTCTCCAGTGTTCACATGTGCAGCTGAACAGAACATAAGATGTGATTTTTCTGTCTTTCTCTCAGGTGGATGCTCAGCTGCAGGTGGTTCGGAAGCTAGAGGAGAAAGAGCGCCTCCTCCAGGGTACCATCAGCGCTGCAGAGAGGGAGCTGGGGCTCCGCACACAGGCTTTAGAGATGAACAAACGCAAGGTACGACAACATGTACTCACATATACAGTGGGTACGGAAAGTATTCAGACCCCCTTAAATGTCGTCCTGTCCCTGCAGCTGAAAAACACCCCCACAGCATGATGCTGCCACCACCATGCTTCACTGTTGGGACTGTATTGGACAGGTGATGAGCAGTGCCTGGTTTTCTCCACACATACCGCTTAGCATTAAGGCCAAAATGTTCTATCTTGGTCTCATCAGACCAGAGGATCTTATTTCTCACCATCTTGGAGTCCTTCGGGTGTTTTTTAGCAAACTCCATGCGGGTTTTCATGTGTCTTGCACTGAGGAGAGGCTTCCGTTGGGCCACTCTGCCATAAAGCCCCGACTGGTGGAGGGCTGCAGTGATGGTTGACTTTCTACAACTTTCTCCCATCTCCCGACTGCATCTCTGGAGCTCAGCCACAGTGATCTTTGGGTTCTTCTTTACCTCTCTCACCAAGGCTCTTCTCCCCCGATAGCTCAGTTTGGCCGGATGGCCAGCTCTAGGAAGGGTTCTGGTCGTCCCAAACTTCTTCCATTTAAGGATTATGGAGGCCACTGTGCTCTTAGGAACCTTAAGTGCAGCAGAAATTTTTTTGTAACCTTGGCCAGATCTGTGCCTTGCCACGATTCTGTCTCTGAGCTCTTCAGGCAGTTCCTTTGACCTCATGATTCTCATTTGCTCTGACATGCACTGTGAGCTGTAAGGTCTTATATAGACAGTTGTGTGGCTTTCCTAATCAAGTCCAATCGGTATAATCAAACACAGCTGGACTCAGATGAAGGTGTAGAACCATCTCAAGGATGATCAGAAGAAATGGACAGTACCTGAGTTAAATATATGAGTGTCACTGCAAAGGGTCTGAATACTTAGGACCGTGTGATATTTCAGTTTTTCTTTTTTTAATAAATCTGCAAAAATGTCAACAATTCTGTGTTTTTCTGTCAATATGGGGTGCTGTGTGTACATTAATGAGGAAAAAAAATTAACTTAAATGATTTTAGCAAATGGCTGCAATATAACAAAGAGTGAAAAATGTAAGGGGGTCTGAATACTTTCCGTACCCACTGTATGTAGTTTGTATACTTGCAGCATCATAAATACTATGTGGGGGACAGTAGCAAATAAAAAAAACCTCTATTAATTCTCGGTCTGTTTTAGGCGCAGGAGTCGGTGCTGCTCTCGGAGGAGGTGCGCTCTCAGCTGGAAGGGGTGCAGCAGAGGTTGAGTGCGGTCAGAGAGGAGGTGATTGAGAACAGCATTTCTCGAGAAAAGGAGTCTTTCAATGCCCGACGTGCACAGGTGCGTACATGATGAACTTATCAAAATTACAAAAGCAGTCACATTTTTTGGTTTTAATGACAAAAATAAGTATTCAAAATGTATCAAAGGGATAGTTCACCCAAAAATTCACCCCCCCCCCAAAAAAACTAGTTTTGGAAAGTGGGTTTCTTTCTTATTTTAAACATAAAATATTTTGAAGAATGTTGGTAACCAAACAGTTGACAGTAGCCTTTGACTTCCATATTATGAAAAAAATATATATATTATGGAAAGGCTATCATCAACTGTTTGGTTACCAACATATCTTCTTTTGTGTTCAACAGAAGAAAGAAACTTGTACAGGTTTGGTATAAGTGGAGAGTGAGTAAGTGATTTTTCATTTTTGGGTGACCTGTCCCTTAAATTTACAATCTGCAAAGGAGCGGATTAATGTTGAAATCAGGATTAGGCATAAAATAATGTCTTCAGATCATTCATGATCATTCAGACGTGAAAATCAACTAAGAATTGAACAAACAGTTCTAACCTGGCTCAGAAGAAGACAGGAATCATGTCTTTGTAGCAGTTTTTATGGTTATTAAACAATAATACAAGACCTCTTCACCTTATTGTGATTATCAAAAGCAAAAATGCTACGAAATGCATCATATTTTGTAAGATAATCATTAGGTATGATCAGCACCCCAAAATGAGTAAGAAACAAATATTGGATTTCATTCAGCAAATATGAAGGCGGTTTTATGGTGTTGAACTTCATACTGTTGGTCATCTGTCGATAGAAAGTGATATACTTTGTGAATTGGGGTAAAAATGGCTATTTTGTACAATTTTTGTTTAACCTTTCCTTTATCTCATTAGGAGGACATATCCAAACTGCGCAGGAAGATCGAGAAGGCCAAGAAACCTGCGGAGAACATTCGAAATGGAGATGAGATCCTGAATGAAGAAATAAACGATTACAAGGTCATTATTGCTGATCATTTGAACGAGGGACCAGAAAGAGTTTTGTGTTCATGTCTTTAAAGGATTCTTTTTTCTGTTTCACAGGCCCGGTTGACCTGTCCATGCTGCAATTCACGTGTAAAGGACGCCGTTTTGACAAAGTGCTTCCACGTTTTCTGTTTTGAGTGCGTGAAGACGCGCTACGACACCCGTCAGAGAAAGTGCCCAAAGTGCAATGCCGCATTTGGTGCCAACGATTTCCATCGCATCTACATCGGATGAGATTTATGATTCACGGTATCTGGATCCGTTTGGTCCAGTTGCTCAACATTGTTTGGAGGGTGGAGCTTGTCCTGTAACGTTGGGCGAACATCAACAGTTTTACATTCCACTTGTTTTTTTTCTCTACAAAGACATCCAAAATTTTCAGTAGATGTCCCAGCAGCGGTTTAGCAGAACTAACCTGGTCACATTCCACAGGTTGTCCTAGCCAACATTTCTCACAACATTTCTGCTGCTTGCTTCCAGGAGTGTCCTGAATGCTCGCTGACATTTGTTTAATACTGCCTCGACCAGATCTCCCATTCCACCTCAACTTACATTTACAACCCAGAGCCAATGTGAACTCGTTCACATAAGTGAGACCTGTCACTGAAAACAAGCTGCCTAGTCGGCTAGGCAATAGTTCATTTGCGTTCAGTTTGCTGAACAGCTGGTATTGTTATTTTTGTACTGTCTATTATTATTATTATTATTTTTTGACTGCCTGTAGTGATGGTTGTGCAACTGCTTCATTGAAATCCATTAAAATATTGAAATGTATTGACATAATTTATTTTATGCTTTTGTTGAAGTTGTCACTAATATGTGACCCTGGAGCACAAAACCAGTCTTAAGTCGCTGGGGTATATTTGTAGAAATAGCCAAAAATACATTGTGTGGGTCAAAATTATCGATTTTTCTTTTATGCCAAAAATCATTAGGATATTAAGTAAATATCATGTTCCATGAAGATATTTTGTCAATTTCCTACTGTAAAGTTGTTCAAATGAAGTTCTTAGCGATGCATATTACTAATCAAAAATTAAGTTTTGATATATTTAAAGGCATTTTTCTCAGTATTTTGATTTTTCTGCACTCTCAGATTCCAGATTTTCAAATAGTTGTATCTCTGACAAATATTGTCCTATCCTAACAAACCATACATCAATGGAAAGCTTTGATGGTTTCAAAAAATTGATAAGTATTCAAAATGTATCAAAGGGATAGTTCACCCAAAAATTCACCCCCCCCCCAAAAAAACTAGTTTTGGAAAGTGGGTTTCTTTCTTATTTTAAACATAAAATATTTTGAAGAATGTTGGTAACCAAACAGTTGACAGTAGCCTTTGACTTCCATATTATGAAAAAAATATATATATTATGGAAAGGCTATCATCAACTGTTTGGTTACCAACATATCTTCTTTTGTGTTCAACAGAAGAAAGAAACTTGTACAGGTTTGGTATAAGTGGAGAGTGAGTAAGTGATTTTTCATTTTTGGGTGACCTGTCCCTTAAATTTACAATCTGCAAAGGAGCGGATTAATGTTGAAATCAGGATTAGGCATAAAATAATGTCTTCAGATCATTCATGATCATTCAGACGTGAAAATCAACTAAGAATTGAACAAACAGTTCTAACCTGGCTCAGAAGAAGACAGGAATCATGTCTTTGTAGCAGTTTTTATGGTTATTAAACAATAATACAAGACCTCTTCACCTTATTGTGATTATCAAAAGCAAAAATGCTACGAAATGCATCATATTTTGTAAGATAATCATTAGGTATGATCAGCACCCCAAAATGAGTAAGAAACAAATATTGGATTTCATTCAGCAAATATGAAGGCGGTTTTATGGTGTTGAACTTCATACTGTTGGTCATCTGTCGATAGAAAGTGATATACTTTGTGAATTGGGGTAAAAATGGCTATTTTGTACAATTTTTGTTTAACCTTTCCTTTATCTCATTAGGAGGACATATCCAAACTGCGCAGGAAGATCGAGAAGGCCAAGAAACCTGCGGAGAACATTCGAAATGGAGATGAGATCCTGAATGAAGAAATAAACGATTACAAGGTCATTATTGCTGATCATTTGAACGAGGGACCAGAAAGAGTTTTGTGTTCATGTCTTTAAAGGATTCTTTTTTCTGTTTCACAGGCCCGGTTGACCTGTCCATGCTGCAATTCACGTGTAAAGGACGCCGTTTTGACAAAGTGCTTCCACGTTTTCTGTTTTGAGTGCGTGAAGACGCGCTACGACACCCGTCAGAGAAAGTGCCCAAAGTGCAATGCCGCATTTGGTGCCAACGATTTCCATCGCATCTACATCGGATGAGATTTATGATTCACGGTATCTGGATCCGTTTGGTCCAGTTGCTCAACATTGTTTGGAGGGTGGAGCTTGTCCTGTAACGTTGGGCGAACATCAACAGTTTTACATTCCACTTGTTTTTTTTCTCTACAAAGACATCCAAAATTTTCAGTAGATGTCCCAGCAGCGGTTTAGCAGAACTAACCTGGTCACATTCCACAGGTTGTCCTAGCCAACATTTCTCACAACATTTCTGCTGCTTGCTTCCAGGAGTGTCCTGAATGCTCGCTGACATTTGTTTAATACTGCCTCGACCAGATCTCCCATTCCACCTCAACTTACATTTACAACCCAGAGCCAATGTGAACTCGTTCACATAAGTGAGACCTGTCACTGAAAACAAGCTGCCTAGTCGGCTAGGCAATAGTTCATTTGCGTTCAGTTTGCTGAACAGCTGGTATTGTTATTTTTGTACTGTCTATTATTATTATTATTATTTTTTGACTGCCTGTAGTGATGGTTGTGCAACTGCTTCATTGAAATCCATTAAAATATTGAAATGTATTGACATAATTTATTTTATGCTTTTGTTGAAGTTGTCACTAATATGTGACCCTGGAGCACAAAACCAGTCTTAAGTCGCTGGGGTATATTTGTAGAAATAGCCAAAAATACATTGTGTGGGTCAAAATTATCGATTTTTCTTTTATGCCAAAAATCATTAGGATATTAAGTAAATATCATGTTCCATGAAGATATTTTGTCAATTTCCTACTGTAAAGTTGTTCAAATGAAGTTCTTAGCGATGCATATTACTAATCAAAAATTAAGTTTTGATATATTTAAAGGCATTTTTCTCAGTATTTTGATTTTTCTGCACTCTCAGATTCCAGATTTTCAAATAGTTGTATCTCTGACAAATATTGTCCTATCCTAACAAACCATACATCAATGGAAAGCTTTGATGGTTTCAAAAAATTGACCCTTATGACTGGTTTTGTGGTTCAGGGTCACATATGTGATTTAGCTGATGCTTAAAAAACTTTTATAGTATATTCTTCTGGATTTATGTTAGATTAAGCACTTTGTGCAATAGCAAATCATAAATCAAACCATGTGGGGTTTAAACCTGCAACAAAGTTGCTTTTCACATTCTTTTTAAATTGAGAATGGTATGATTATAATTGAGGAAAGTATATAAAGTTTTAAAAAGTTAAGAAACAGTAGGCTAAATAATAGGCTAAATGCTTTATTTTATATTTATATATAATTATATTTTAATAAATATTTTTTAATCTCCCTCACAATTAAAAAATAAAATAATTGTAACTAGTAATCTAGTAAAAAAGCAAATATGATTTTCTGTTACTGTTGTGATTTAAGGTGTTCTTGTTACAGTGTAATACATTCAAGTACTGAGTAATATTAAAGAAAGGGTTTGGATTGGGGTTAGTTGCATGTAATTACATAGTTTACTCTTATTATTACCAATGTTGGGTGTAATGCAGTGCCAAGTAATTACTATAGTTTAATTTTCCCTAGAAAAAGTAAAGGATTACACTTAATTTTTCTGTAAATTAACTAGTCACTTCTGCTGTAATTGCATTAAATACTGTATAAACTATAGAAATATATATATATATATATAAAACAATAGTGAATTTAACAAATGAACATCTAAAGTTAAAATGTATGTTTTTAGTGTAACCTTGTCTCTTTAAATACTTTGGTCAGTTCAAGAATAATTTATGGGCCTTTATATTATTTATTTGAAATAATTAAAAGAGCAGATTCATGTCTATCCTTGTATTGTTCAATGGTCGAGACTGACATATAGCCTATAGAAAGTAGTTAGTTAGTAAGAAGTAATGTATATCTTTTTAGAGAGAGTAATGAGTACAGTAACCCATTTACACTCGAAGATATAATTAGTAGCTAATTACTTTTTAGTATATTTTAATGTCATGTGCCAGTCGAAAAGCTCATTGTGACGCTTTAACTCTTTATGAATTTGCGACTCACTACAATTAAATTCTCATATTTTTTCTCTTTTCATAATTGGTGTTCAGTGCGCGGCTGTGTGAAAGCACATGTCCCGGCGTGCAGCTCGACGCGCCTCGGGCGCTTCTGTAAATCTAGTAACACCTCGCCTACTGGAGCGAGCGATATCGCGTTTAAGTGCCAGCAGCACCGTGTAAACGGGTTTCTTGTGCCTGGCGCAGGAATGCAGGAGGCGGAGGCATAACCGTATATGTCTATAGCCAAACAACCGTATCCAAACTTTCCTCCGTCGTGCAGCCCGGAGCTCCTCACCCAACTTTAACATCCACACAGATCCTCACAAACTGGATTCATTTCGGATCCTCGCTCAATAACACGCGTCGCGCTCGGCAGAAAATAGACTTCTGCGGCTTTTTTAAAAGCATTTTTTTTTTGCACTTTTCTAAATTTCTAAATTAAATTGTGTTAATTTATCTTTATCGACTTAACGCTTTGTTCTATGATACCATACACAGTCATCTAGACGCTATTTTTAAGTGCCCTTGGCAAGCGCGTGCCAGACTATAAGCGACTGTTTTGAGAACTTAATTTTAGTAGCTATTATAGCCTTTATATATATGAGGAGCGCAGCGTATGCCATCTAATTGGGTTTGTTCAGTTGGGTTTTTGTTTGCTCATGTTTTTGACACGGCTGAACTTGTTAATTTGCTTAGCCATGAACTATATTTTTGTCTGAAAGAACCAGCATTTGTTTTTTATCAATTTTGTGTCTAAGGTAATAAACCCGCTAGACAAACTGACCGGCTATTTTTCTAGTTTTTATACATCTGTTATTCAGTACTATCTTTTTTCGGATCCCTCTTGAACCGCGTTGTGATCCGGGTTTTTAAGGATGTCTGGTCACAACATTGCCTCGAAAAGTTCGGAAAAGCTGCTTTTCTTTGGGTTTTTGGTTCTGGTTCGGTCGGTCTTGTGTCATGGGTTTGCTGAGGAGTTCACCTCAGGCTCTTATGATTTTGGGCCTGTTATTCTGGAGCCTCTGGACGGGTTGAGAAAGTACGTGGAGTCCATTGTCGGCACCCATGTGATTGAGATTGGGGCTGAGGTAACTTTTTTTGTTATTTGTGACATGATCTAATGACTTATTCTAAACTTCCCACAGGAAAAGTTTGCTCTTATTTGTTCAAAATATTCCATAGAGGTTGCTCTTCCATAGATAGAGGACTTGATTATTTTTCATTGAAGTATCAACTTTGCCTCAGATGTTTCTACTAAAAAAAAAAAACAGACAAAAAAGTAAGGTTTGCTGAGTAAAATAGGCTACAATTCGATGAGTAATGTATGAGTTGATACTGAAATCCTGATTGCAGAGTTTCATGCTTTAGCAAATCTGAGCACTGAAACTCTAGAGGAGAAATATGAGATTACACAGGTTTTTTTTGCCTCAGGAGAAACATCTGAGAAGCATGAGGCTCTCCATGCAAAACAAAGACATCTAGGGGAAACAGTTGAGATTTTGAAGAGATCTCGTTTATGATGGTTTAAAACTTTTATATATATTCGGATTACTGGACCTTTACTTCTCTTATTCCCTAATAAATGCTTATACTTGTGGTATTCACATTTCTCTCCCCACATTTACCCCTCTCTCATGTTGCCCCTTGACTTGTTAATCCTCTTTTAACCCTTTCCTCTCCTCCACTCATCCTTTGCTCTAATTTGCTCTGCTTATGTCCCGCTCACCGAACCGCCCCTCGCCTCTCTTTGACCCAGAATGCTGTGTTGTACCTTGACTCAGTGTTTGGCCCAGAGAACATCTATTCTGTTGCAATGGTAAGAACAAGTAAAAGTGTCAGAGCAGGATTGATTTGTGCACTTGTTTTGACACGCACATGCTTATCCTTGTAATGTTACTGTCTGTGTGTGAAAGCGACAACTGCCACTGAGGACAAAATGCCAGAACAGGTGTGTAAGTGCTTGGTGGCTCATGCCTAGAATGGCAAACAATGCTGCTTTGTACAATGATTATGTTCTCATTGACTTCCTTTATGAAGCCAAATGAGGTGACCTTGTTCCTGAGAGTGTCTGTTTGATCACAAGTAATGTATGTGTGATAGCTGTGCATGTCTGTGAGTTATAAAGTTAAGTGGGATGCCCAGCTGTCACTCTGGCAGCTTTACTTGCGCGCGCGCACACACACACACACACACACACAGAGAGAGAGAGAGAGCGCTCTATTTGTATTGTGAGGTGTTCTTACACAAATACTGTTAAAGATTATAGCCTACCTCCTTAGCCTATCAAACTGGATCCCAAACCTGCAAGTTTGCGCCCTTTGTTTGAATGTTCACAAATTAATTTTGAACAGAAGTCTTCTGAAGTGTTCTCACCCCTTAAAAATAATGTTCCAGGTTCAGTACAAGTGTGTATCTGACTTGCTTTTTTCAGAAAGTCATTTCAACTCATCCCTCCATATGTAAAAATCATATTTTATGCACTTACAGTGGACATCTTGGAAGGTTTAAAACCAGAAATGCACAGCTCATGTCTCTTGAAATTCTTACATTGTTGTTCCATACAAAAATGTTATTTGAGCTGTAAAGTTGTCCAAATTGTTGTTCTAAACGGATTTGCTTCAGGACGGAGATTTTTAATTAAAAATCAAGAGATAATGAAGTACCACATTAAAACTTACTATTATTACAAGGAAATGCATATACCCAGCTAAATTCAAAATGATTCATTTGATATTGGCTAAACTGAAGTGTAACTACTTTAAATGTAAAAGTATCAGTGAAAATGTGATTTACCAGCCTAACACGTGTAATAAACTATGAGCCAAATATTGTATTAGAGTTAGTGACATGACGCTCATTTTGTCCGGATCTATTTATTTATTTCAAAAATACATTAAAAGTGCAATTTGTACACAATGACTTCAAACTCACATATTTTACTATATAATTTTTTTGTTAAGTTATTATACTTTTTTGGGTAGTATAAAGGAAAAAAAAATGCCAGGGTGGTACAAATGTCCTGAGATCAGAAGGAAAATTAAAAGAATACACATTTTGAAAGGAAAACCATCTTAAGTAGTTTGGTAAAAAAAAAAAAAAAGTATTATTTCTCAGAAAAATATTAGTTGTGAAGTATATTTGGAAAAAAGTTTAACTTTTTCTTCAGTCAAAGATACAGGAAATGTTTATTCCACCCTTTAAAAAACTGATATACCTATATTTTTGTTTTGCTAACTATGTAGGATCATATAGTTAGTTGCATTTTGTCATGTGCAGCGTTT